TATTATTTTATTATTTCCCTTCTACGTGACTTTACCGAAAGAACCAAGAAGATGAATCCCTGCAGTCACGAAAGCTTTAAATCGAAAAAAAAGCACACATTGTGTACATATTTTATGCATGCAGTGTACACTTGGTATCACGTGTGTATGTGTGTGTATGAAAGGTAAAGGAGACGCAGCCCTGCAATTTGCGTGCCCTCGCAATTTTAGAGAGCCCTGTCAAAACATCTCTTCCTTGGGCCATTCATTGACACAAGGGGGTTGAAACTGCTCCGCTGTGAGATCTCCGTACATATCGTCTCACGACAAGACACCAACATTGCACTGAACGAAGCCCCATAATTTTTCGATTTAAAGCTTTCGTGACTGCAGGGATTCACCTTCTTGGTTCTTTCGGTAAAGTCACGTAGAAAGAAATTAATAAAATAATAAAAAGAAAACATAATAAAATAATTCTCACGACGTTTCGGCCACAACGCAAGTGGCCAAAACGTCGTGAGAATTATTTTATTATGTTTTATTTTTATTATTTTATTAATTTCTTTCTACGTGACTTTACCGAAAGAACCAAGAAGATGAATCCCTTGCGTTGTGGCCGAAACGTCGTGAGAATTATTTTATTATGTTTTATTTTTATTATTTTATTAATTTCTTTCTACGTGAATTTACCGAAAGAACCAAGAAGATGAAGCCCCATACTCAATATGAAGTGCTCCTGTCGACAACGTCTAGTAATCGAGCAGCGTTTCCTTATCAATTTCAAACAGGTCCACAGTGTGTTGCTAAATCAAATGCTCCTCGATAATATTGTCTGGAACGCTAATAGATACGATGATGAATCTTGACTTGAAGCTTTCGTGACTGCAGGAATCCATATTCTTTGGAAAAATAATATTTTTAATTTTCTTTGAACCATCTACGTGACTTTACCGAAAGACCCAAAGAAAACAATACGATTATGTTTGTTATAATATCATAATAGGTTTTCCCCTTTTTTCTGGAAACAAAATATATATGATGATGATGTTTGTGTTTTGGCCATTTGTGCCTGTACTCAGCAACTGCAAAAAAACAATACCTCAATAACACAATTGGAACTGGAGAAGGAGAGGGGGGATTGGAGGGGGGACATAAATCAAATGTACGAATTAGCCGAGTGTAGATTCAGGGCCGTATTCCTCATTGTGGCTCAGCTCAGGTACAAGCCGCTCGCTGGCTTTCAAATTCGCGTGAGCGACCCGGACGTTGACTTGGCTCAGGCTCACTCGGACCACGATGAAACTTCTGAGCTTAAGTTAAGCGCACGGCTTTTAAGCCCGCGGCTTCAAGACGGCTCATTCGTGCCACGACCGTGATCCGGGAGCCGAGCCTGAACTAGACCGTGTTCCGTGAGTGTGGCGGCGGCGATAAAAATGCGAAACCTGAGCGAAAACACGTTGTTGCACACAGCTCAACAAAGCTCCGTAGTCAACGCATCTTTGCGGGCGGCTACACACCGCATCAATAAACCCTCGTCGGTGATGGGAGGGGGGGGGGAATCTGTCATCTTTAGTTCATGTATAGCTGCTTCAAAAGGGATACACAACACCCCTCTCCTGGGTTTTCATCAACCGCCGTATATGCGCAAAAGAATATGTTATTCTCAATTATTAATCTGACAGAAAGCATATCTCTCCTGGGAAGTACACTCTCCGTGTATTCTACAATAATAATAATACGGTTTATATTTGCAACGCCTTTGTCAATCCGCTGCTGGATCGAGGCCTCCCCATGCCGTGTTGATCATGGGGGCTGTTTCGCCATACTTCACCGCGCTCATCATTGCGGGCTGGATGAATGGAAGTTTAGATGTCACTAGCCACTGGTGTTAGTTATGGCAGGGAATGGAATTCAGGTTGTCAGGTTTCACAGTATGGAGCCATAACCAATGCGCCACTGTTCCGCCCCTGTGTATTGCATTCTGCCTTTGATTTCTGATATTTCTCTGTACGGTCTTATGAATTTGTGCTCGTTATACATCTACTGAGATACCCTATATACCCACATGTCTTCTGGCATGTTGTATACGTTTCATTGCCACCCCTTTTCCTTGACCGATGACCTCCGACCTCCTCTGCCCTTTGACCTTACACCAAAGAGGTGACTCCGAAGTTACTGTCGGAGGTAAGCGAGATCGATGGCAATCCACGAAGGGAAAGGGAGAGGAATTAATTTGCAGAATCTGTGGGCGTCTGGCTCTACGCAAACTATATCTACATCACACTGTGCATCTCCCTTTCTCCTTGTATCTTTCTCCGAGTAGCTTTAAGTTCATCAATGTGTAGTGACACCTGATACAGTAGCATTCAATAATAGGAGTCTTTATTTCTTTCGGTAGAGTCACGTGGGTAGAAAATAAAATTAATCACGACGTTTCGGGCAAAACACCTGATAACGGACGCTTGTATTGCGCCCGAAACGTCGTGATTTATTTTATTTTAAACCTACGTGACGTTAATTCTAGATTTGAAGCTTTCGTGACTGCAAGAATTCATACTCTTAGTTTTTTTCGGTAAAGTCACGTAGGTAAAAAATAAATAATAATAATAAAAATGTTATAAATCACGACGTTTCGGAGGCAACACAACCTTCCGTCTTCAGGTGGAACCGTCACAGCACAATTGCTGTATCAATTAAAGAGAAGTCCCAAGAGACCCGACCTTATATATACGTGACTTTACCAAAAGAACCAAAGAGTATGGATTCCTGCAGTCACGAAAGCTTCAAATCAAGATTGAGTCTTTATTTCTTCCAGAACGAGACACGGTCGTCATGGATTCCCTTCACTCCAAGCGTCCCGAACTCCCTCGCTTCCCCTTCATATATCCCTCAAGCCCCTTTCCCGAAGGTTCCTTGACCTGCTTTCTCTCCAGCCAATCACCTTCCACTTTTCCAAACGAATTCCAACCGTCCATCCTGTCAATCATCCTACGTTTCCCGCTCTTTCCATTTTCATATTTCTCTTTCAATCCCTTCAATTCCCTGCCTCTAACCAATTCCCTTTCAGGCCCGTTAAGTACCAATCAGAAAACTTGTTTTTTACTTATTCTATGCATCTTTCAGTAAAGTCACGTAGATTTTCTTTGAACCTATCTACGTGACTTTACCGTAAGACCCATAGAATATGAATTCCTGCAGTCATGAAAGCTTTAAGTCAAGAATTATTTTTACTCATTGATTACCACGTCAGTTGAGTAATGTTGGCGATGATACAATCTCTACGTATGTATCTGCATCCGTGCCTCCCTCCAGATCTCTGGCTCGTGTTGCCATGTCAATCTCGGTCAGTGCCTTTGTGTCTCTCTCCGTGGCTTTGTCAACTAGTGCCTCAACCAGATTTCTGCGTCTATCGAGGTCTCTCTTTGTACCCATCTGCGCGTCAGAAACGCTGTCACTGTATCGCAAAGAACTCGCGAAAGTTAAGATTGGGCCCTCGTGCTCATCTCATGAATTGGGCAAAGCCATCCAAGTACAGTTGTAAGTGGGGCTCCCTGAGCATGGGTGGGGCAACCTGACTAGTGGGTGGGGCTACGTGGGTGGGGCTACCTGATTTGTGGGTGGGGCTCCCTGATTTGTGGGTGGGGCTACCTGAGTAGTGGGTGGGGCTACCTGAGTAGTGGGTGGGGCTACCTGAGTAGTGGGTGGGGCTACCTATGTAGTGGGTGGAGCTACCTGAGTAGTGGGTGGGGCTACCTATGTAGTGGGTGGGGCTACCTGAGTAGTGGGTGGGGCTACCTATGTAGTGGGTGGGGCTACCTGAGTAGTGGGTGGGGCTACCTGAGTAGTGGGTGGGGCTACCTGAGTAGTGGGTGGGGCTACCTATGTAGTGGGTGGGGCTACCTGAGTAGTGGGTGGGGCTACCTATGTAGTGGGTGGGGCTACCTGAGTAGTGGGTGGGGCTACCTATGTAGTGGGTGGGGCTACCTGAGTAGTGGGTGGGGCTACCTATGTAGTGGGTGGGGCTCCTGCCTAGTGGGTGGGGCTACCTATGTAGTGGGTGGGGCTACCTGAGTAGTGGGTGGGGCTACCTATGTAGTGGGTGGGGCTACCTGAGTAGTGGGTGGGGCTACCTAAGTAGTGGGTGGGGCCACCTGACTAGTGGGTGGGGCTACCTGAGTAGTGGGTGGGGCTACCTGAGTAGTGGGTGGGGCTACCTATGTAGTGGGTGGGGCTACCTGAGTAGTGGGTGGGGCTACCTATGTAGTGGGTGGGGCTCCTGCCTAGTGGGTGGGGCTACCTATGTAGTGGGTGGGGCTACCTGAGTAGTGGGTGGGGCTACCTGAGTAGTGGGTGGGGCTACCTGAGTAGTGAGTGGGGCTACCTGAGTAGTGAGTGGGGCTACCTGAGTAGTGGGTGGGGCTACCTGAGTAGTGGGTGGGGCTACCTATGTAGTGGGTGGGGCTACCTGAGTAGTGGGTGGGGCTACCTGAGTAGTGGGTGGGGCTACTTGAGTAGTGGGTGGGGCTACCTATGTAGTGGGTGGGGCTCCTGACTAGTGGGTGGGGCTACCTATGTAGTGGGTGGGGCTCCTGCCTAGTGGGTGGGGCTACCTATGTAGTGGGTGGGGCTACCTGAGTAGTGGGTGGGGCTACCTGAAAAGTGGGTGGGGCACCTGCCTAGTGGGTGGGGCTACCTGAGTAGTGGGTGGGGCTCCTGCCTAGTGGGTGGGGCTATTTGACTAGTGGGTGGGGCTACCTGAGCAGTAGGCTGGACTGGCAGTGGAGTAGGGAGGGCATATGAGCAGAAGGTGTAATCCAAAATCAGTGAATAGGGTTAACTTGTTGTGTGGGCGGGAGCGGGGGGGTTAGTGGATGAGTGGGTGTGTGGCTGTAAGAGTGGACGGGGCTAGATGAGGGAGCAGCTGGCACCTCGCCCAGCTGAGCTGCCCAGAGGTTTGGTAGCTTCACTTCGATCTGAGACAGTCACACGCACGGATTCGCCACGACGACCGCTCTTCTCACCTGGGAGGATCGGCCCCGTGCGAGTGGCGATCCCAGAGGCTCAGCGCGGCGGGCATCATAATCGCGGCAAGCAGCCAGCACACCGCCACGAGCAGCGCCATGAAGAGCCCAAAGTCACGCACAGCCGGGATCTGAGGTGGCGTGGGGTGGGACGGGACACAACAGCGACCGGCGTTCGAATGGCAAAGACAAAACATGAAGATCACCCCTCCCCCACCCACACTCACAGATGGTGGGCGGGCGGGCAAGCGGAACTCACAGAGACGCACAAAGACCAGTCACCGAGCATGCGTGGCCACCTCTGTTTCCCCCATTGCTGGTTATGGTATTCCTACTCCGCAGGCAGGTTGGTTCAAGAAGCTACTACAACCGGATCACACTGAATTCGTCTGATTTCGTCAGATCTCGGAATCTAGCCCGGGTGGGTGAGCCTATTTTTATTTTACTTTTATTAATTTTAATTTTTTACCTACGTGACTTTACCGAAAAAAACAAAGAATATGGGTGAGCCTAGTTGGTATTGGATGGGGGTCTGCTTGAGATGAAACGGTGTTGTTAGGCTCGCTTAGCCAGCAAGGTGGCCAGCACAGCAATGGGTTGAATCCACCTGTGTGGTGATTTGCATGTCACCCCCTCTTTAGGCATGGTTTTCTCCCGGTACGCCAGGCTACCCACAGAAGCCAAGCCCTCACGAATGAAATTTGACCGAAATCCCACTTCGAGGGCCAGAGCTATCCTGGGTAAATTAGCGGTGTAATTATTAATGGGGGTGGTTCACAGCCTTGCCGATTAGCTGCAGAGGTTCACGGGTTCGAATCTTTGGCGACTACCCCGATTAATATTCTGCGGGTGTATTAACCATCAAAATACACGCCCTTTGCTTTACAGTGGCATCATTCGCAAGCGTAAGCCATTGTGTGCCAGAGTCACGGTCCAAATTTGATCAAATTAACCCACAAATAACTCAATTGGGCAACACACAGAGCATACATTAACCCACCCCTCTCTGGCCTTCGCACCTTCTTGATTCACAGGTGACGACATCACATTTATCCCTCTATTTAAGAATAAAACAGGAGGATTTCTCCAAAAATCTGGCTGTCGCTTGATGATGCTCGCTGTAATTACCGGTGTAACGTTGTACTCGATCTAGATTTGAAGTTTTCGTGACTGCAGGGATTCATATTCTTTGGGTCATTCGGTAAAGTTACGTAGATAGAACAATAAAATAATAAAAATGATAATAAAGTGAAAATAAAGTGAATATTCACTTTATTTTCATAAAGTGAATATTCACTTTATTTTCATTTTTATTATTTTATCTACGTGACTTTACCGAAAGACCCAAAGAATATGTTATGGTTTTACTCTCCAACACAATGGTGTACGAGTAACGAATTTGCACGTTTTGTTTACGTGACAAACTTTCCTAATTGTCTGTGTCGGGTGGTGGCGGGTTTAACGACACATTTATATATTTACGCGATCTAACCCAAAAAAACACTCTTAATGGACACATAGCAACCTTCGCTCCGACCACAAAAAAAACTTGGCAGGACCCACCCTGATGCTCTCCTGGGTAAACAAGCGGAATCATAATAATTGTTATTGATGTGTGCACAATGGTCAGGGTAGATTCAGGGCCACCAGAAAATGAAACGCAGCCGGCAAATTACGCTGTTAATGCATCCGCTCCGCAGATACAGCACATGACAAACATAGACAAAGATTCCCCGTATAGCCTTAACAGACTTTTGGGGCAAGTTCTGTTAGGGAGCACATATGAAGGCCGACACGGCACACGATGGAGTGGGTGGATAGCATCAAGCCGGCCACCTTTGCCTACCTAGTAGCGATGTTTACACACTGCATCAGGTATTCATTTGAGGCTGAGTCGACCCTAGGGGAGGCCCAGGACCGGCTCAAACAATCGTTACTGGTGTTGATGGCCGTGAACGGGAATCGAACTTGGCTCTGTCAGTTTAACACGTAGGCTTTCGCAACCAATATTATTCATAATATAGGTTTTTGGGTTAGATCGCTTTATTTATAAATGTGTCGTAACCCTCCACCACCCGACACGGCCAAACAGTACAAAATGTGTCACGTTTTTTCAAAGGACAAAATAATTGACTTCTTTAGCCCACCGGTGTGTTGAAGAGAGAATCAACAGCATTTTAGAATTTGCGTAGTACGACGTTTCGCTGATAATTACAATCAGCTTCATCGGGCAGGAATGGTGAAGCTCTCCTGTTGCTCCCGGTCTTAAATAGAGCAGCAGCAGGGTGACGTCATCATTTAATTCAATTTGGTGCAGTGATTCGAGGCAAAGAGAGGGAGGGTATTGTAATTATATAGATTGGTAATCATTCAATTGTTATTCATTGGTATTTGTTTCTCTTATAAGGAATTGTAATTGTATGTATTTAATAATTCGCTTCCAGGCCGCACTTAGCCTGTAGCTGTCAGAACGATTTAAGTTATTTCTGTTTCTCTCAATTTCAATGGATTCTCAGTTTGGAGCACAGCACACTAACCACTGTGCCACCCCTCCCCATGACAAATATCCCCCCCATGACCATGACACACACAAAAAACAACACACAAACACACACACACACCTGTGCGCACACTGCACGGTCCACGAATTTCCACAGAGTGTATTTCGAAAACGGGCACCATTCATGTCACCATGTCATAATGGCGATGATAAAAATGCGGCGGTCATTTGTCCGCGCGACTGCGCGCCTCCAGCACCCACCACGAGGAACGTCACCAGACATCCGGGACGCTGCGGGGAGTTTATTCTCCAATACCGCCACCGCTGTCGTCCCCACTGCGCCGTGTATTGACTTTCTTCCTGACTAATGGCAACGTTCATCTCTCGACGGGTCAAAGTTTTTGCCCACTTATTGCACACGCAAGCAACAAAGCAACAAACGCGCAAGAGCAGCGCGCCGTGTTTTCACTCCGCTTGTTCACCCGGCGTGAACAAGAGACACTCGCGGGGCCACTCCAAATAAAGCACGCACCCACACACCCACACACACGTGCACGCACACACACACACGCGCGCGCACGCACCCACCCACGCACGCACACACACCACACACACCACGCACACACGCCACACACACGCGCGCACGCGCACGCATACACACCACACACACACCACGCACACACGCCACACACACGCGCGCACGCGCACGCACACACACCACACACACACCACGCACACACGCCACACACACGCACGCACGCGCACGCATACACACCACACACACACCACCACGCACGCGCACGCTACACACACGCACGCATACACACCACACACACCACACACACCACGCACACACACGCGCACTCACACGCACGCACACACGCACGCACCCACGCAGCCACACAGACACACGCACCCACACACACACGCCACACAAACGCACGCACACGCACGCAAACACACCACACACACCACACACACACACCCAGACACACCACACACACACCACGCACACACGCGCAAACAAAAAGGATGATTCGCAGATCGCCCCCATATTACACATTTTTTGAGGCTACAATGACCTAAAGGAAGATCCGGTGCAGAAACAAATGCAAAGCTTTTTGTCGTGCGGAGTCTGGAATGGGAATCCTGCGTTACGGGATCGTAAGCTTGTGTGGTGTGTGAACCACTGTACGATCACACAAAGACAATACAGCCCAGATTGACTGTGTCGGGGCAAGTGTCGTTAGTGAGCACCTGTGAAGAAAGCCGGCATGGCGCACAATGGGGTGGGTGGCCAACATCACGCCCGACCGTCTTTGTCTCCCCCGCGCTGATGTTTACACACCGCTCCAGGTACTCATTTGAGACTGAGGCGACCTAACACACGCACATTGCTCGCACACACGAACTCTCAAACACTTTCCTGCCCTCTAACTCACCACCCCTTAACACCGCAGACTCATCCACCCACTCATCCACTCAATCATCCACTCGCCAACGCACTCACCCACACTTTAAACCTCTCACTTTGGGAGATGCTAAGGTTGCCACCTGTCCTGGCTTTCCAAGGATCGTCATCCTTTTGTTGAGGAGATAGCTGTCCTGAGAAATCTGTCAGTCTTCTTGGGAGATTAAAAAGTTCTGTTTTTCATCAGTTGCATAATAACACACTCACCCACCCCACAACTTACACAAGTCACCCACCCACACAAGCACTTGTTAGCACACCTATCTCCTCACCAACCCACCCTTCCTCCCCCCCTCCCTCACCAACCCCCCCCCCCTCACCTACCCACCCATCCCTCACCAACCTCCCCCTTCCCTCACCAAACCCTTCCTCACCCTTCTACCCCCAACTCCTCCCTCACCCCCATTACCAGCCCACTGCTCCCTCACCAATCCCCCCCCCCTCACCAATCCCCCCCCCTCACCCTTCCCCTCACCTACCCACCCCTCCCTCACCAACCTCCCCCTCACCAACCCACCCTCCCCTCACCAATCCCCCCCTCCCCTCACCAAAACACCCTTCTCTCACCTCCCCACCCCTCCCTCACCCTTCTCCCCCCCACTGCTCCCTCACCAACCCCCCCCCTCACCAACCCCCCCTCCCCTCACCCTTCCCCTCCCCTCACCAATCCCCCTCACCAACCCACTGCTCCCTCACCAACCCCCCCTCACTAACCCCCCCTCACCCTTCCCCTCCCCTCACCAACCCCTCCTCACCAACCCCCCTCCCTTCACACCCCCCCCCTCACCAACCCCCCCTCCCCCCCCCTCACCAACCCCCCCTCCCCTTTCCCCCCCCCTCACCAGCCCCACCCTTCCCTCACCAACCCCCCCCTCACCCTCCCCCCTCACCCTCCCCCCCCCTCACCAACCCCCCTCACCCCCCCTCACCAACCCCCCCCCTCACCAGCCCCCCCCCCCCCGCACCTGCGAGAAGCCGTTGGCCGCGTACGACGAGGCGGTGGTGAAGGAGGTGAAGAAGGTGGCGCGCCCGGCCACGCGCACCGCGCGCCCGATGCGCTCGTCCCGGCGGGCGCACGACGCCACCGCCTGCCGGTAGGCGCTCACGAACACGAAGACGTCGTCTACGCCTGGGACACCGTCAACCCGCGGCAGGGGGGGGGGGGAGAGACACGGAGAGAGGGGGAGAGAACGGTGGTGGGGTCAGAGAGGTCAGCTACCCGTCGGAGGCTGTCGGACTGCGAGAAGGGCTGCGTGCAGAACGAGAGAGGGCGAGAGAGGTGGGGGTGTACATAAAGCAAAGTTTAAAAATTTTAGTAATAATTTTTTTTTTACGAAATGATGAACGAAGCAAAGTGTCGAATACACCGAGCATCTTCTTGTTTCCACTGATCGTAAAAAAAAAGAGAGGTGAGGGAGATGAGGGGAGAAGGGGGGGGGGGCATCGTCGCGATTGCAAGGACGTTTCTTGAATCCCGCTGCTGTTTTAAGACAGATGGATAAGGGGCCGTCCATAAATGACGTCACGCACCTGGGGGGGGGGGGGGGGCAGACATTTGTGATGAGGGGGGGGGTGATAAATGTGACGTAACATCAAAATGCGCAACTTTAAATACATAGACAACACGTTCTACTCAATTAAATAGACTTTTTAATAAATGTTTTCTCCTTCAACATCAGGATGCAGCGGCACATTAAATACGCACTACAATGACAATAGGACAATAGTTTAAAGCGATTTGAAGCATGTTTTATTTAGGGGGGGCAGAGCTTTGTGACGTCATGTTTGAGGGGGGGTCTGAGTTTTTGTGACGTCATGTGACAAAGAGAGGGGGGGGTCAAAAATCGTCCAAAATCGCATGACGTCATTTATGGACGGCTCCTTCTACAATTAACAACGGTTCGATTTAGAACGATCTCTGGCTCTATGCGAGGCCACGTTCTCGCTCAAAGTCATCGGTGATCATGGCACCTTCCTTCCATTCAGCTCCATCGGTGCTTACTTAATTTGGAGCTTTCGTGACTGCATGAATTACTCTTTCGGTAAAGTCACGTATAAAGAGAAAATAATAAATTAAATACTAGCATACGACGTTTCGATTGCAACACAAGCAATCATCATCAGGTATAAATGAAATAATAAACACAAATCTAGTATACTTAGAAATGTAATGTGTTGACTGTTATGTTATCCGACTCTCTGTTGTATTACATTACATTTCTAAGTATACTAGATTTGTGTTTCTATTTCATTTATACCCGATGATGATTGCTTGTGTTGCAATCGAAACGTCGTATGCTAGTATTTAATTTATTATTTTCTCTTTATACGCGACTTTACCAAAAGAACCAAAGAGTCCATCGGTGCTGATTACTCACCAGCATGGCGTCAGAAACTCTTCCCACGTCGCATACATTTCTTCACATTGCTTACGTAACTTCACTCGCCGTCATCCCCGAATTCGTGTGCCGACAATTTTCCCAGTCAAAACATTTCAACTTCAGTCTCTTGTTTTCTCATTACATGTCCAAGAAATCAAACGGTGGCTTTCTCAAATTATTCTGATTAATGTTCTTGCTGCGTACCCTGCTGCTCGCCATAGTACATTCATGTTACTCATGCTGCTCTTGCCCATGAAATGTTAAACATTTCTTCTTAAAAAACACATTTCTGTCCCTGCTAGTTTTCTTCATCAAGCCTTTCTAGTTGTCCAACTATCATATTGATGACAGAACAGACATATTTCGATTTAAAGATTTCGTGACTGCAGGGATTCATCATCTTGGTTCTTTCGGTAAAGTCACGTAGAAGGGAAATAATAAAAGAATAATTATTATTTTTATTTTATTATTTCCATTCTACGTGACTTTACCGAAAGAACCAAGAAGAAGAACAGACATATGTAACAATGCAGTATAGTAATTATTCCAATCCATTTCAAATTTTTCGAATATAGCTCCCATTACAAAAAAATACTGTGTACACATTGGGGAGCAGTGGCGCAGTGATTAGCGCACTGTGCTATTAACCGGCAAAGCTAAAGTCGATTCCCCAGCCAAGTCTGTAAACATCAGTGGCCAGCGACATCCGAACCGGTCTTGCCTGGAAACGCGACCCACCCCACCACTCACCGACCCACACTGACCAGCATGGGGAAGCATGGTCAAACAACTCCCGTGACAGACACGTCATGGGCAAGGCCTTCACAAATCAGTGGATTAACAGCAGTCCATAAAAAAATGTACGATAATAACGTTTATTTTTTAAGGCCACCGAGAGAAAAATAAATGTGTTTATCGTTTAGTCGACTGGCCTTCTCCAGGAGTAGTACAACGTGTCTGAGAGAGTTTCCCTCTGCGAACTATAATAATTCCAGAAGGCCAGTCGGCCGAAACGTGGGGAGATATTTGCATTCTCTGGGCGACTGCGGAAACAAATTGCGTGCTTATAGGACTAAGCTGTTGTTCATTGCACAAAGTTTGCCAATGCGGCAACTTGAAATGCTATCCGTTTAAAATGTCAGCAGTTTGCCGAGTGATCCCTGGGCAATGCTGATAGTAGCTGTGGGCACCGTTATTTTGTGCCCTCATTTTTTTTTTGCGCATCCCACGAACGAAAATTATTTATCGAGAAATTTCTCGCAGAGTCCCCGAAGCTCGTTTTCACAAGGGACCTGCGTGATTTATTCCTTAATTAACCTCGTATTCATTAGACACAGAGAAAGATGCTGTAGTTAGACTAGCACAGAGATGGGTCGATAGATGGCAGGTAGACAAATAAGAATGGTACAGTAAATTGAGGGGTTTGGCGATTGGCAGTGGTGCAATATCACAAACAAAAAGTATATTTACATTTGTAATGCAGCACTGTTTACAACAGAAAATACAATAAAATAAACTCCGTATGTCGATGACGATGATTGCCATTTTAGTTACCAACTAGCAACTATTTCTATCTTCTTGGTTCTTTCGGTAAAGTCACGTAGAAGAGAAATAATAATATAATAAAAATAAAATATAATAAAATAATTCTCACGACAGCATCTCCCCGACAGACCTGGTCTTCACCTGAGGATGGCTGCTTGCGTTGTGGCCGAAACGTCGTGAGAATTATTTTATCATGTTTCATTTGTATTATATTATTATTTCCCTTCTACGTGACTTTAACGATAGAACCAAGAAGATGAATCCCTGCAGTCACGAAAGCTTTAAATCGAAATTTTATTAGTGTTATATTTTTATTATTTTATTATGTTTCATTTTTATTATATTATTAATTCCCTTCTACGTGACTCTACCGAAAGAACCAAGAAGATGAATCCCTGCAGTCACGAAAGCTTTAAATCGAAATTTAACTATTTCTATTTTACCAGGTAAGGCCGACTGTGCTATTGGCTTCTATTTCAGAAGCGACCTGGTCACAAACGATAGCTCAACGAAGTGGCTTATCGAGTGTAAATTTATAGCAGCCAAATCATCTAAGTCATCTAAAACGCATGGACCACCCGGGGTTACGACTTGCGTGGGCTTGTCCGCCGGTGCGCCGCAGTACGGATCTCCCGACGTGTTTTCGCGGCCACGCCGCGCTTTCTTCAGCGCGGCGTCCGACGTTTCGCCCCGCGTGGCCGAAGCGTCTTCGGCAACTTGCCGATTCTGAACTCTGCCAGACGGCGTGGCGAGACTTTAAGAGTCAACCCGGAATCGTCATGTGTGACATTGGTCTTCAAGAGTCCGTCGCGCAACGGGGAAAATCTAAGAGCGGTGGTGGTGGAGGGATACTGTTTGTACAGAGCTTGAGATTTCCGCGTAGATAGTGCTCAGCAGCTCGTTTGTATGCATGCATGCTGTACTTCTTTCGCACCGTACGTAGCCAACCGTGCTAACTGGAGGTGCGGGAGCTTCGGTGTCTAGCAGAAGGAAGGAAGCGATAGCGAGGTGTGGCCACATCTATGGCAAAGGCCACGGTGGCCTCATTACAAAACAAAGAGAGCGTACATGAAAAAGAGTAAACAAATGCAAACAAAACGGGGAGAAAATCATGAAACACGACCGTATAATTTAACACGTAGGCTTTCGCGACCAATATCATTCATAATAAAGGTTTTTTTGGGTTAGATCACAATCAGTCCAGCTTTGGGCATTTTTGATGTTGCAATTCTTACAAGTATTTCATTGAACAAAACGATTCAGGTACACACGGAGGGCACGTTTGGGAATTGACACCAGAGCAGACGCGACACGAAGTACAACAAAAGCCGCCAACACCGCCGCACGTCCAAAACTTCAAACGACGACGCCACCGTGAATTAAAACATTTACTTAAAAAAAAGAGATGCTGCTGGTGCTGCTGCTGCTGCTTCCTCGTCGTCTGAATTGCCGATCGTTATCGATCCGTCGTGCAGGTCCGATAAACATACTTTTATGATTTTTGAAAAATTTCTTTACATATTTTTTACTCTCCACAGACGTTGGGGAAAGAGTTTATTGAGCGGCGAGTTGAAAGGGAACGTTGTTACGAAGGGTTACGACAAGTAATTCGTTTTCTCACGTCACTTTTTCGCGGCACTCATTACAACGGGCGTTGCATACTCACGTGACGCGATTGTTGGCACAGAGGCCCGGTCGGTCGTGAAAGAATCTCACCGGCAGTGAAGTTGCTTTTTACGGCAAGGTCTTGTTTAGACTAGAGGTTTAAAAAAATTACTCTGCAATGCTGAAAATACTCAACGATGGTAATGAAAAAAAAATTAATGGTCAATCAAGCCCAATGAATTTGTCCTGAGACTCAGTGACAATTCACCGGATAAGTGATGCACATCCTATTATCATCGACAGTGGTCGTCCTCTGAAGAAAATGACCTCTGCCATGAGAATGTAGAATTTCCACCACTGGCTCATGGCCGCCAAAGGACACCCACCCCAATTGGCTGTTGGAGCAAGGAGACGGTGTGAGTCGACTATTTGTTATTCAAGGTCAAGAGGTCACTGTGGCCAATGCCATGGATGCAACCCCCGCACTTTCGCAATCTCTTCCTTCCATCCTTTTCGTTCTTTTTGGTAGCCGACCTCTGGGTGACCCCATCTCAGAAACCTCTTTTTATTACACGCTATTATTTAACTCACTCTGTCCGTTGTCGTATCCTCAAAAAAAGATTGTAACTCAATTTTTACCCACTTCCCAATGTGCTATCGACTGCAAACTTGGTATACTTATGTCATACTGATGACAAGACTATATTCTATCATAAAAAATCTAAAAATATTTTTTTAAACATTCTTTTACACGCTTTTGATAAACTCACTCTGTCCGTTGTCGTATCCTCAACTCTTGTAACTCAATTTTTACCCACTTCCCAATGTCGTATCGACTGCAAACTTGGTATGCGTATGTCATACTGGTGACAATATTATATTCTATTATTGAAAATAAAAAAATGTGTTTTTTTAAACAATCCTTTTTATATGTTATGTTTCGGCTTGGCTCTAATTGTCCACGCTCAACTCACGTTGGCTGTAAATCACCACGGTCCCTTACTCTATGGCAAGCCTCGGGCCCACTTCCTGGATTCGTGGAGTTCTGCCATTACTCATACGGTACATTTAATTAAATCGTGTTTTAAAAAAAAAGTATTTTAAAATATTACTTATTGTTTTTAGTTTGGTGTACTTCCCCCGCACCGCCAATTGGCACGATTGGCTAAGTATGGTGCAAAAGAAGTTCTACATTCATACATACCTGCCCCGCTCTATACTACACATCTGTCCCACCCATCACAGCATTCCCTATCTGATTACATCCAGTACGACCCATGGAAGCGAATACATCACTACTTCTGAGATCCCTTCAAGGTGACCTCCAGGTCTCACCGGTGACCCCTGGAGTGGTATTTTTCCAGCCGCTCTGCACAAAAGGGGTCATGTGCGTCTCGTGACAATCGAGACCCGAGCTTGCAATGCTCAAAACTGGAGTTTAATGTAGCACCACTTCAACGCGATCAATTATTCGGCGATACCTGCTGTGCTGGCAGTGGTGAATTCAAGCACAACGAAGAACTCGGTCGTCAATAACGCCGCCCTTGAAGGGAAAATAGATGGAATAAGTGACATTTCAGGCAATCGCCCTTCTTCACAGAAAATAAATGGAGTGTGATGGTGTTTTTTTGTTGTTGTTGTGCAATCAGTGACCGGGCTGTTGAACATCAACCCACTAACACTCAAGAACCCTGTAAGTAAAATAAAAAAATAAATTTTTATCGCAGTTGGTGGCCAAAACCGGGATCCAAACCCAGGATCTCTGCGTTCCGACCTCCAATACCCCCCCCCGCCCCGGCCCTCCCCGGCGCCCCCCCCCCCCCCCTCCAGTTTAACCCCCAGGTCGCGAGGCCGCGTCGCCCCGAGTCGCGTCCGCTCACCGATTCCGACGACGACGAAGGCGGCGACGCCGTTGAGGATGCCCAGGTATCGCACGCCGAGCACCACGTGGTGCAGGAAGAGGCACACGAGGCAGCTGAGCACGATGGTCGCGAGGCCGAAAAACGTGAGCAGCACTGCAACACAACGGGGGGGGGGGGGGGGCACAGGAACGATCGCTGTATAAACAAAGCCAGTCAAGTGAGGGGGGCCTTCATTTTGGTTTTTGTTTGGGGAGATGATTCGGGACTGCGCCAATAAATGTGAGCGCGCGCATGCTTGTGCGAGGGTGCGTCACGGCGAGCGGTGGACGCAGTGGTTAGCGCGGTGTGCGACGAATCCAGCGACCCTCTCCCCCGGATCTGATTCCCGGTCACGACCAATAACAGTGGCGTGTATTTGAACGGGTAATAGGCCTCCCACCTAGGTCGACTCAGCCTTAAATGAGTACCTTCTGGCGGTGTGTGAACATCAGGACTGAGGACACAATGGCGGCCGGGCGTGGTGCTGGCCATCGACCCCGTCGAGTGCCGTGCTGACCTTCATAGGTGCTCGCTGACAGCACTTGACCCAAAAGCCTGTTTAAGGCTATACGGGGGAGCTTTGTGTGTGCGCGTGTACACGTGTGTACGCGAGTGTACGTGCGCACTCACGCGAGCCCTGCGTCAGCGCGCACACGAGCAGCGCCACGCAGGCGCCGCTAGCCGCGGCCAGGCGCATGTCTCCCCAGAAGGTGTCGCGCACCTCCTGGTCGAAGAGGTCGTACCCGCCATACAGCACCCGCACCTTCCTGCCACACGCGGCGATGACCGACACACACGGAGGGAGGGGGGGCGGGGAGCTCTCGCTCAGCGTCCCGCAGACCGCTCCGGGGCAAAACGCCACTCTTCGTCGGAGCGTGAAAGGGAACGCGAGGTGAAGATCGCCGGGCCCTGAGCTCATCTCGATCGCGAAGACGAACGCGCGCCGAGCAGCACGCAAAACACACGCGGTCGCGAAAGCCAGCGAGGGACTAATGCGTTTGGATTAATCACTGCCATCGCGATCATCATCATCGGCCAAGAGCTATCCACTGCTGGATGAAGGCGTTGTTCTCGGTCCCTTGCGATGCAATGATCCACCGAGCACCTGCTCACGAGCCAATTTCATTGCTCGATTTCCCCCCCTCGTCTTGGCTGCTGCTCCATCGCTGCTCTCGACCATCGAGCCAACGTCCATTCTTGCGAAGTGTCCAGCAGCCCAAGCCCACTTACTTTGCTCAACAGCTTTTGGCTGGCCATCGAACACGGACGGGTCACTGCATCGCGGCGCTTTCAGATGTGCTTCTGCGACCGTCTGGAACGTTATTACTATCGATATCATGAAACCACTGGAGCTATGCACTGTTAAATCATCTAGATTAAAACGAAATTCGTTATAACTGCTTTTTGTGTTTAGTTTGTCCTTCCCACGCACCTTCGATTAGCATGGTTGACTACGTACGGTGCAAAAGAAGTTCAACATACACACAAAATGATGTCGTTAGCCTGCGTATGTTTTCTGATCCTCTTCTTACTTTCTCTCAATGTAATTCCAAGGATGCACCTTGCAATGCTTCTTTGGGCACTGTTGGTATTTCATTAATGTCCGCGTTTCTGATCCATGTCATTCTGTATCGATTTTTTTTTCTCATGGTCGTAGCGAGCACATCTAGCAGCTGGTATGGCTAAACAGGGGGTGGGTGGAGTGGGTGCATCTGATTTTCCATTGAACAACCACAACCGACTTCGAACTAAGTGGTGCTAGTCAGTGGATCCTCGCTGGAATTTAATAATAAAACAATCATATAATTTTAATGGGTCCGTGGTCCAACCACTGAGCTAGCATCACTGACGTCCGAATGCACGGAATGAAGACCGGGTTCTAGCGTGCAGCGAGTTAATGGTCCAAGTCCTATCAACAAAGACTGCAAAATAAAATAAAAAAACCATTCAAAACATCATATTGAACTTGCTATGTTTCGGTTGACTTGGATAAATTGCAGGTCTGAGAATTTAACATTTCAGTTCCACCGATGTGCAACCACCATTTCCTCCGTAGCACGGCCTGTGAAAAAGTTGCACCACCTAGAGAGTGTGTGGATTAAAAATTAAACGTTACCAGAAGGAGATCTCAGAAGTAATTCTGTGATGTCACCTTCCACGGGCCGTTCTCTAACACGCAAGCCGAACGGACGTGTCTCTACCTCATTCTATGACGTAATTAGTTTCAATTGGGATATATATTTTGGAGAAAAAAAATATTTAATGGGGGGTTGGGAGGGGAAGGATATGAGCTTGCTCCGAGCGCCAACATGTATCCCCACGGTTGTGACCACAGTCAACATTAGCATGCAGTACACATTGTTAAAAAGATGAGTTTAAGTGCGTACATTAGTATGTCAAATACATGCATGCACAAGAGACACGTACGCGACCCGATTGCCGCTCGTCCAAACACTGAAAAGATATTTAAAAGGTCGAAGATAATTATAGTCATCGAAAAGAAAGATACAGACGGGGTTGTCCACTCGCTCCTGCCCTCGAGCAAGCGATCCTAGCTGTAAAACGATGAACGGTCGTGCGTCGACACGCTACTCCCGCTTTGTTAGCGAGAAAAAAATTGACGTGTTCCTCCTCCCCTTTGCCCAGCCAACGTAATGCTGTCTTGCGTTCGAAAGAATTACCATAATTACACTGACCCATTACATATTAATGTGATGCATTCATTCATGTAAATTCCTAAGTATACAACGCCACCAAAGCTGGATTTAAATAAATTCATGACAAAAAAAAAACAATTAAACGCAAGGGGAAAAACAACGTCTTCGCTCACTCAAAACAAATTAATATTAATACCAGACTGTTAATTAATGAATCAATTAGCCGTGCGTTAATTCCATTTAAACAAGGTAGAGGGGAAAAAAAGATTAAACAAGCGTCACCCAAGGCACAAACAAGTATTGCGGCGCGCGAGTTAATCTCCATCGGCGAAAATCCGGAGCAAGTGGTTTGTATTCCTCATTTCCCAGGACAACCCATGAGAAGACTATGGCTTAACTTCCCGCAGGGAGCTGCTCTCTTTCATCGACTGAATCAATGACCAACCCCTCCCGGGGGGCCTTGGCGGATCGTACACATTCCCGAAACTTTCAAACCTCACTGGGAGAGCCCTGCAGGATGAAGAGCAAGCAGGCAAGCGAGAGGAAACCCACGGAACCTGCCACGAGTTTTCGTCGGTGCGGAGCTGTGAGCGTCACGTCTCTTCGTACGCGAGGGTTTTTTCCGGGCACTCCGTTTTTTTTTTTCCTCCCAACTCATTTATGCAACTGGCCTGATTAAAAAAAAGAGTCTTGAGACGTTCATATTATATTCTTGGTTCTTTCGGTAAAGTCACGTAGAAGGGAAATGATAAAATAAGAAAAATATTAAACAATACAATTCTCACGACGTTTCGACTGCAACACAAGCAATCGTCATCAGGTGCTGTGGATTTCACACCTGATGATGATTGCTTGTGTTGCAGTCGAAACGTCGTGAGAATTTTATTGTTTTATATGTGTATTATTTTATTATTTCCCTTCTACGTGACTTTACCGAAAGAACCAAGAAGATGAATCCCTGCAGTTACGAAAGCTTTAAATCACATTCATACTAGTTTTGACAACTGGAAAGTTTATGGGCCAAGATGATAACTACTTGTAAGAGATGGGGGCACTGGGACACAACTTACTCATTGACTGCGCCTTACCCATTTATACTGCTGGGTGGATAGAAGCAGTAGGTTGGAGAGGGGGGGGGGTGGAGGGGGAAATTTAAGAAAACTCAAATTGCTTCAACTGCCGAGTGGAAAAGTAGGCCAATTACCCGCAATAGTGAAAGCTACCTCGAGTGAAAACCCTTCCGCCAGCACTGGCACGAACAAGCAATTGCAGGGCTGCGCCTTTACCACCACAAAATCTTCTGTCGTACGGCAGAATGACCTGCCCGGCTGTCGTGGCCCTTCTGCCATCATTAGCATCGCGCCCATCTGAATATCACGTGACCCACAGCTCTGTTGGCCACATGGCCATTTTGCACACGGTTCGATTCCTGTCACAGCTGGACGATGCATTTTTGCGAAACGAATCACCGCACACACAGATGGCGCAGCGTGCCGTCTGCGGAGAACGGGAGAGCGGGAGATGGGCATCTCGCGGGGCACTCACGAGGACGGCGCGTGGGCGAGCGCGCGGGCGTACGTCGTCACAAAGCGGCGGAAGCGTTCCCTCTGCTCGCGGGGTCGCTCCCCGGCTCGCCCGAAGCCGCGCAGCGGTGCGCCGAAGTGCACCTGGCTGCGCAGCACCGCGCTGCGCAAACGCTCCGGGCCGAAGGTCTCGTCCGCGAACCAGTAGGACTGCGGGTGCGACAGGGCCAGGCGTAGGGAGCCTGTGGGGCGGCAAAGGCAGGAGGAGGGGGCAGTGCGGTGGTGGCATGCGGGAGGCACAGTGTTGGCATCGTGCCATTAGCACGATGCGCTATGTATGGTGCGAAAGAAGTTCAGCATACATACGTAGTGGAGCTGATATGAGGTGCTGGTGGAATACGCACTTTAAAACTGGCTTTTGGTAAGAGTTGACAAATTCTCAGAGTCGAGTCCAGATTTTAGTTAAAAAAAAAGGCATTTCCTACAATAAACGTTGGTCTATCGGTGACAATTCATAAATCTTCCAACAATTAACAACACAATTCAAACCCTCAAATTGGCAGCGGAGGGGGCAACCCAGACTTTAAATGTCACCACAAATCTCACCGTTGATGTCGGCCAGCTGTCTGCCTTGGCCGTCGAACCACACCTTGCCGCCACTTGCCGACGGGAACAGGAAGGTGGAGATGGAGGCAGGCGGGGCGCACGGTGGAGCCGCCGTGGCGGCGGTGGTGCCGGGGCCGAGGAGCGTGTGGCTGCGCCGCTCTGATGATGCGGGAAGTGGGAGGCCGTCGTCGCCGCCACCGCCGCCGCCATCTCGCAGGGCCGGGTCTCTCCGGGTCTCCGGCGGGCGCCAGCAAAAGTCGGAGAAGCCAGGCCAAGAGCGGACGAGGGCCTCCGTGTCGCGCACCACCTGGGTTGGTGGGGGCGGCGGGGGGGGGGGGGCATCGTCGCGCAAATTAGCGATCGTTTCGCGTCCACAATAACCGGCGGCATCGGCAACTCCGTGGGAACTTGAATGGGTTTGCGCTGGGATTCGCGGCTGTGCGCGCGCGCAACGCTCTCTGATGCGTTTGTTAGTTTCGCCACCGTATTATTCAGCATGGCGTCCAACCGCGAGAGATAAATAATTTCACGGATAAAAATTCCAGTGCGATAGAGACGGGGCCCATTTTTTTTTTTGCGTACCTGGCAGGGTTGTCAAATAAAAGGGGCCAGGAAATAACAAATCAAGGCAGCCACCCGTGTCGCGCCAGCGTGATAAACACAGCCACCACCACCCCCGCATCGCAAAAAGAAAATCAGGAGTCAAACAAATTCCATATCACAGCAACAAGACTGGGAGAATTACCATTTTAAGCAGTTTGCTTGTTTGTTAAGTCCTACGGTTCAATTGGTAAACGAATGAAACTGATTTTCAAACAGATTCCTAAACACAAAAATAGATAAGCATATCAATGAGCGGACAAAGTGAATTAATGAAATGGCTAAGATACTCATTTAAAAGATACAGCAACCAATTGAACAGATTATTGATCGGCACAGCGTTTCCTCCCCCTGCTCCCCCCATTTTGCCCGCGATGGAATGAAGGAGAGGAGCTAAATTGCGTTAAATGAACGTGCAAACCTCAGCATGCCAAGTTGCGCAATTGCGTAACAAGGGAATGATGTTTCTACTAACACCGCGTTCTCTACAAGCAAATCGTTCGCAGCCCCCAAGTGAGCTCAATGAAACGAAGGTATGGATTATTCAGTGGCGAGCTGATCGTTTTAAACCGTGAACCGTGGGTGCACAGGTTGCGCAACGGGCAAATGCGTCGTTAAAAGTGCGCACAAAGCGCGCGCGGGCAAGAGGGGGCCGCACTGGGAAAAACACCGTGAGCGTTTACCCGATGGGGTCTTTTTTGTCTTTTTAAACCAGGAAACACCCCGGGCGAGAAAACCCGGCAACACCGCGCTCGGCACCGCCATCTCCTGGCCCATCCCTTTGCATGCCCACCGCCCTACGACGACTCCCCCCGGCAAGCCGCGTTGGCAGGTCACCCGGGTCCTAGCACCAACTGGGGCGCCAAGCCTGCTTTTAGAGCTCCCGAGAATTCCGAATGACGCGATACCTCGGTCGGATCGTAGCAAAGCACCCACACAAGGTAACCGTGCTTATTTCACTTCACAAGGCCTCACCCACCCCAAAAAACTAGACAATGCCCCTTTAGATGCCGCGTAATGAGCGGGTCACGGCGCGCCAATCATCCGACCATATTTATATGTTTTAGCCGCTCGGAGCTAGGCTATAACGAATTACATTTGAAATCCATTATACAACGATTGTATCGCTCGATTATTATTTTTTTGCGCAGCCATCGGTGACCAAGCTGACGCCGTCAAATTCCCCGTCGGGGGGATGTGGCCCGGGTTTAGTCACGGGTGGCTGCAAGCCGGATTCAAGCCCGGGATGCCCCCGGCGCTTATGGCTCACCAGCTCCTGGCTCACCAGCTCCTGGCTCACTGGCTCCTGGCCCAGCCACTCTAGGAGCTATCCTGGCCGACTTCTTACATTGCTGTTCAGACCCTCTTGGAAGAAGTAGGAGTACCCACATTTTATCTCGCCAAACACGACCCTCCCCGCCAATCGGCTAACTGAAAAGCACCCTTTTACACCACTGGGTGGATGGGAGTGGCGGTGATTTAAGAAACTCGTCCAAAGTTTCAATCGCCGCGCCGGGAGATCGATGCTGTTATCTCCGAATTGCCAACCGTCTTGATCACGTGACATCGGTAATGATACCTGCAGCCGCTCCTCGGTTAGCATGTTCGCCTCCTGGCCCAAGCTGTTGCCGATGGCAACGAACACCAGCTCCATCCTCCATGTCGGTTGGGCCTGCAGCTGTCCAGATCTGCCCCCTGCATCCTGTAACCATGGAGACGTCACAGTGGATGGATAGGACAGGTTAATAATATAGAGGTCGCCTTTATTAAAATTCAAGTCCCAGGAGGAAACATGGGAGGTAAGTATTGTATGTATGCATGTAGAACTTCTTTCGCACTGTACGTAGCCAACCATGCTAATAGGAGGTGGGGGGGGGGGGGGAAGGACAGCAAAAATAAAATTAGTTTTCAATCTAGATTTGAAAGTGCATTGCTCCAGTGGCTTCCTAACATCGGAAGGAAGAGCGTTCCAGACGGCCGCAAAAGCGCATCTGAACAGCGTGGGATGCAGTGACTGCCTTTGTTCGATGGCCAGCCAAAAGCCGCTGCTGCGAGGAAGACTGGAGTTCGAGTGACAGTTTATGCTGTTTCATGTTGTAGGCGAGAGCTGGAGATATGATGACTGCTGTGCCGGGTGGAGCTCGTGTGCAGGACGGAGGAGGGTTTGGTGAAGGACACATTCCGCAATGGGCATTGGAGTGGTCGCCGCAAATCTGGTGGCCAAGGGGAAGAGAAGACCTAAAGGTGCCGATGGCAGGAGACCGATAGGGAAGATACTTGGAGGGTCACACGGCTAACGGAGCAGCAGCTCAGGGGTCTGGCGAAGGGTCGAGGGTGCGGGCGAGGAGTGGTGGCGTCAAACGGCCATGAAGACAATTTGATCTTAGAAAAGAAAAAAAAATGCATCTCATTAGCAAGGAAGAAAATGTGGACCATGTGTCGTCTTACACCATTGTCAGGCTCACACGGTTGTTTCAGTGTCAGGTCATGTACATGCGATAACCGATAAGATAGTTCTTTGTGCGTTGTCGTCATCGTTGTTGTTGTTATGATCGTTACGCTTTGCCACAATGTTGGCGAGATGTCATCCGTGGAGGAGAGATCCTAATCGCAATGCAATTTTCCAATTTCTGGTCAGAATTTCAGAATTAGCTGCGCGCAATTGAGGCTACGTGCCACCAATCTCGGCTCACCCTCCCCTACAACCACTGCCCCCCCCGACCCCCCCCCCTTTCAGCCCACAGCCCCCAGCTCCCCGATCTCCCCCCACCAGCCCATCACTCCCACAAGGGACAAATTTAATTATTCGTGGCAATTTCTCAACGCCAATTTGGCCACGAGACCAACACCGCAATGGCTCTGTCTTCAGGGATGAAGCCATGAGGTCCTTTACAAGTCACGGGTTGGCAGATGGGACCTCCCCCCTATAAAAGGACGCTCCGTTTATTAGATTCAGCCCGCACAGAACATTAACGCAAACGCATTGTGAGCGGCGTGATGAGAATCGTAACGGATAACGGGGCTTATTTTGGCATCGCTCACCCACGGTGGGTAAGAAAATAATCGCAGCCATTAACTCACGCCATTGGTTGTCTACGGGAGCAAATGTAGGCCAATTAATGTGAGGCGCGATATTCCCATAATCATCGCACCCTCGCGCATAGTCACAACATCAATTAGCAACCGACACCGGCGCAAAGTGCCTCACGTTCCTGTTGCGTTGGGCGTTATGTTCCCTTTCGTAATTATTTATTCCGACCGTCATGCTATCGGTTCCCAAGTCACGAGAAGAAGGAATTCCCAATCGGGCCTCTGCAGCTAATCGTGCACCGCCTTGTGTAAAGAGAACGGCCCCCGAAGATGATGTCACAAAACTATTAACGATTTAACTATTTTTTAAATCCTTTATATTAAGTTCGCTTGCTTGCTTGCGTGCTTGCGTGCTTGCTTGCTTGCTTACGACCGTGCAAATCTTTCGGTCGTTTTTTAACCCACTTCCCGTGATCCAATCGAGCTGACATTTTCCACACAGACTCGTTGTGCGTGGCAATTAATTTTCGTGAAAAAATTGTTTCCAAAATTTTACACTGTTTAGGGAATTTTTTTAAAATATTTAATTACCAATTGCTTAATGCTGGCAGACAATCATCTGACCCATAGGTGGCAGCCATCTCAAGCCAGAAGACGAGAGGACTCTAGCCGCCACGCATATAAAGGATTTAAAGTGAAAAACTTTGTTTTTACGGGTTAATTTTTTTTATTTTACTAAGTAAGGCCCACTGAGCTATAGCACTCTTTCAGAAGCGACCTGGCTACAAATGACAACTCAACGAACTGGCTTATCACGTGGAAATGTATAGCAGCCAAATATTCTAAACGCACGTCGATTCTAAATGTGGAAGGAAAAACCGGAGGACCCGGAGAAAAATCCGCACGGCCACGGGGAGAACATGCAAACTCCAAGTATACAGGAGGCGTCAGGGTTGGGATCGAACCCATGACATCCTGTACACCAGGCGAGGAAGTAAACATCTTGCCACCATGCTGCCCCTAAATCTCACTTTGTCATCTTCAACACAGGCCTCTTTTCCCACACTTGGGGTACATCTTGTATGCGTCCTGCAAAGGTTTTCTCTGCGTGTCAATCAAACCAAATTTTAAGACAACTATTATTAAAGACCTGCTTGGAGAGGCCTTGCTTATGGTGGAATAATGTTCATCGTCCCGCGCAGATAAATCAAAAACCTACTTGCTGTACCTCCTCCCTACTCTCACCTCGATAGCCATCAGGGTAGGTGTCTCTTCTCTCCACAATTCCACAAAGCCACAACCAAAATCCACATTCATAGGCACGCGTTATCTCCACCGCAGCCGGCAAAAACAATTACTCGAGCGCTACACTCCTGCCGTGATGTGTACGGTCACGCTGCACAGCTCCCTCCGATGCGTTCACGATCAAGATGAATAAAAGGACGAAGCTCCCCCAGCACGCGGAGTGAAACGTCAAAAACATTTCGCGCACAACAACGTGCCGCACAACACAGAAGACACGTCGCAGGGCAATTATTTCGGACGTCTCTCTAATTCGCACTCAAAACCGGGGCAACTCTCACCTGTTTAGCTGGCAGATTTCGCCTGGCCATCAGCTTTCGGGTTCCCTTCCGTACCAACCACCGATCGCCCCGGGCAACGGTCCAATTCCCTCGGAGTGGCCGCCGTTCCCTGGCGGCCACCGTCACCAAACACTGGCGCGGCGCAATCACGTCAAAGATGTGCACACTCGTCTTGGCATCCCTGAAGACGAGCTTATTGCCACCACCAACGCCGCCGCCCTTTCTGCTTGCACTGCTGCAGTGGGCGATGTTCCTTTCGTTGACTCTGCGGATAAGCGACGAGACATCATCGTCGAGAGCAGGAGCCGGACGCAGCCCGAAGACTCGTTGGCCGGAGAAGCCCTCGTCGACATCGGGCCGCGAATTTCGCGAGGCTGCGTTGCCGGTGAACGACGTGGAGCGTCGTCCGCGGGAGGAGCCAGACGGAACGACGGCCTCCAGGAGCTGTGTGCGCAGGGCGGAGGCGAGCGCGTCGAAGCGGCGCAGGGCGATCTGGTCGCGCGGCTCGAAGGCGCCATACGACAGGTCCAGGTCGAGCGGCGGCGACAGCGAGAACATCGCGGCGGCCAGAGCCAGCGGGACGCCCACGCCCAGAGCCAGCGCGCACGCCGACACGCGGGGCGATGCGTAAGCGCGTCCCACGCGCAACGACCAACCCGTCTCCCTCGCCGCAGACACCGCGGCATCACCGGGGTCGCGCCCGTCGCGGCTCTTCGCCCCGAACCGGAGTTCCCGATCTCCGTCGTCCTCGTCGCCGTCGTCGCCGACTTGGGAGCCTCGGCTTCCGTCAGCAGCGGAGCCAGTTCCGTTCTTGTGTCCGCCACGCGCCGGGTGCTCGTCCGCACGCTCGAACCTCTCGCTTCCCGCTCTGCTGCAGTTTGGCGTCCGTTCAATGCTATCGAGTCTGGCTCTGTCTGCGTTTTTGTCTCCTCGACCCATGTCTCTACTCGTGCGTATCTCCGTCTCTCCGTCTCTGCCCACGTCTCTGTCTCCACCACAGCCCCCTCTGGTGTCTGCGTCTCTCTGCGTGTCCGCAGCGGTGTTGTCTTTGCACTCACGACGCTCAGCGGTGACACCAAGGGGGTCGGCCATTGTGAGTCCACTATTCAGAGCTCGAGTTGGGGGTGCGTGCAGCGCGCTTCCACTGCTGCTGACGGGGCTCGAAATCAAAACCCGTCCCAGTGTGTCCCTTGTTTTTTCACCTCTGTAAATATTAAGCACAAAAAAACAGAGATAAGCATCGTTATGTCATTGGCACGTTGCGCTTTGGAAAAGAAAAACACAGCAAGCAATTCAGTCGATTATTTATCTTTCTTCTCATGAACAAACCTTTGGCACCGTTATTATTCCTTTAATCAAAATAGTCTTAAATCTACATTGAAAACTTATTTCTTTAGAAATGCATTTTGTATTTAGTTTGTTGTCCTTCCCCCGCACCTCCGATTACCACGGTTGGCTACGTACGGTGCATAAAAACATACATACGAGGTGTTAATGTGAGTGCCAATGTCAACAAATCGTTTCGGGTTATTGCTATTGCGATATTTGCTCAGAGCTGCCGACGTAATGCTCGGACAAAAATAAAAATACATTCGGCAAAGAGTGGTGGAACACAGTCTCGGGGGGTGGTGGGGGGGGGTGTGTGGGGGCTGGGGGGGGGTCAAAGGTCATATCATGTGCACACAGCCAACCCCTTGGCTTATCCCAAGAAGAATTCAGGGACACATCAGTGACATGAGTCTCCTGTCCTGACCTCGGCGCTTGCACTCCCAGCGGAGATGTTGACGCCAAGGAGGCAAGATAATAAACTCAATCAAAATTTTCAAAATCCCGACTATCCTTTCAATAATAATTGCTTTTCTCGGTAAGTGGATCGCTTTGCTTCTTATCTGTTCTGACCAAGCGTTACTTGGGCTTATATTAGTTTTATTGGATTTTTTCTTTTGGAATTTCTCACTTCTCCCGATGGGAAAAGGTGGGGGGGGGGGGAGAAATTTCGCCTGAAAATCTCTGATAACATTCGTGTTGCTGTTGGGGTTTTTATGCCAACCGCAATAGGATCTCAAAAATCACACTTTCCAGCCTGGTGACCACAGAGCCCGAATTTTCTGAAGCGCCTATTCAAACGCCGCAAAAAATGCGTCCAAATACGAAGGTGGAAAATGAACTTGGCCTGTTCTTTTAACTCGGATGCTTGCTATGATTTCAAAACCCCCGTAAAAAATATTTTTATGCGCTTACATATTAACCTACCTTTCGTGAGAAAAATATCAAAAGCGGAAACAAAATATATCATAAAAAGATATTGCATTTTTCGCCCCTAACGGAATGAAGCTGCAATGACTCCTATATCATAAACTCAAACAACTTCGTTTTGAATGAAAATTATTAAAAAGGCTCAGTGACACTTTACCTCAACACACAGCAATGTGACATCATCACGTAAGCTCTCGCAACCAATATGCCAATTCATAATTGGTTTCTTTGTATTCATAATTGGTTTTTCTTTTGTCACATCGGGGAGGTATAATGATATTTTTTTTAAACAATAACCGTCCACCACCGAACAGAGCCAATCAAATCAAGCTGTTACATCCTGGACAATGGATTTGGTTTTGTCAGCAAACCGGGAATATGTTGAGAGGCAATGCAAGATTTAGACAATTTTAGACAACAATGCAATAACGCCGGAGCTGTCACGGCATGCAGAGTGCGAGAATTGATAATGTGAACATTAGACTTTGACAATCTCCCGAGTTATGTTAATAATAGTGAGGAAAACATCTGTGAAAAATAAATAAACCAAAAAAATCATGTCCTTGCAATTTCACCATCACCAAAAATCATCACCACCATTCTGTAATTTGCGTGTTCTTTGGATTACAAGATGCACTTTGTTCTCTTGATATTTAAAGCAAAGTTGGGGGTGCATCTTACATTAAAATCCGCATGCAAAACGGCAAAAGTTAGTTTACAAGTTTTATGGTCATTGACAACCAGCCACCCATCAATCAAGACCTCAATGTACCCACTGCCACTTCAAATTCTGGTCCCCCTTCTAGGATCGCGCTGCAGCTGTGGACACCATCCTAGAACCTCACCCAGATCCGGAAGAACGACCGATGCTGACGGACAGGATGAAACAACGCGGCGACCAGAATAAACACCTTATTCGAAACCCAAACATCATCGCACACATCCCCGGCTTTGACATTCCTCCTCCTCGAAGACACTGGACGCAATAACAATCAACCGCAACAGAATATCTCTGCAGACCGATGTGCACATGCCCACCATACAACCCAAATTACGCACAATATAGTGATCCATTGTACTCTTAGGTTTTTTCGGTAAAGTCACGTAGGTAAAAATAAATAATAAAAATAATAGAACTAATAATAGAAATAAGTAATTTATTATAAATAATTAAAATATAAATACTAATAGAAATAAGTGATTTATTATTTTAATTCTATTATTATTTCTATTATTTTTATTATTTACTTTTACCTACGTGACTTTACCGAAAAAACCTAAGAGTATGAATTCTTGCAGTCACGAAAGCTTCAAATATAGAATTAATCCATTGTAATCTGCCCTCCTTCAACGGAGGAACAGCAAAACTTCACCAACTCTCTTGAAACATTCTCGAGACCAGCATTCCTCGACGTTAGCGTTCGGCTCCTGGACGCACATTGCCATACGCAAGAATAAAATATGAGGCTCGTGTGCGTGACAACATTCGTATAATCACGCCACTGACACCGGTCACAAGTTTGGGGTGCGTCTTAGTTTGCATGTCTGGTTATTCAGAGAATACGGTAACACACTGCCGCCCTTCTCATATAACAAGGACACTGCTGACTTCACTTGCCTTTAATTTTCGCCTCGACATTCACTCTCCCAAGCACTTTATCCACTCGTGATGACCATTAAAAGCTTAAGTCTATCCACAGCGTGCCATTACTGGTAAAAAAAAAAATCAAATCCCATTAATTGTTTAATGGCAACCATGACCAGAAGGCAAGACACATTATTATAATTAATATAATTTTACGGTTGTTGTAACAGCTCGTGCCGTGGGTCTACCGGACAGCACGGCTGCAAACCTGCCCACACCACACCGCCGACACGTAACGGCGTGTGGCATTTTCTGAGAACCACCATCAATAATTTCGGGTGCCACGGTTGAGAGGGGGTGCGGCAGGGGGGGGGGGAGGCAAAGAAGGAAATTGTGGAGCGTGCACAGCTGCGATCGGGTCGCCCACGTGCGTTGCTGGCTTGCGCTTTTACCGACCTAAGAAGAAGGACAACATTAGATGACAGGTCCCTGCCCTGCCTCTGCATTGTACTGCCCCCTTGACTTTCCCTGCCCTGCCCGCCCATTAAATTCAGTTCGGTTCCTGAAGAAGCTCCCAGCATGTGCAGCTAAACGTCGGACACAGGCGCCCAGCAACAGGCAAGTGCGGTTGCACCCGAGTCAAGAGCCGCATGGCTCACAGGGTTATAGCTAATAAATGAAACTAAATCTGAAACAACCCAAAAGAGGACATCGGAGAGCCACGCACCACAGCCGTGAATACCTACGCAGCACAATACCAATGGCCTTCTGCATATAGCATCATGTTGTTTGTGTTCTATTAAGGCACGACAAGAGAAACCGTGACATCGATATTAATGTCATTTAGTGGCAGTGCGATGCGACAACGATGGAGTAACAATGATGCGGAGGTCACGTAATTGCGGTGGAATGCTAGAGGGCCCCCCCCCCACTTAAACAGACCCGAGCGAAAGTGAGACCAACGTCTTGTTACAAGCCTTCGACGATCACTAATGCCAAGCGACAGCGTAGGAAGGTCGCACAACCTCATTTCCGTGAACGCACATCGACTGTTACACCCCCCTCCCTCCCCCCACAACGCACACGCGTGCCAAAGCCAGCCCGGCGACAAACGTGTTTCACTTCGCCATCATCATCAGCCAATGTCGATCCACTGCTGGATGAAGGGCGGCCCCAACCCACCACCCACATCTCTCGTGACCCTGCGATGGAACGATTCATCACCAAGCTCGTGACCCACAGTAATGAAATGATCATCATAATAATCTCCAAACACGCGTTCTTACAATAGCACAGCGTAATCCCTGAAAGTTCCATTACGTGAAGTTAAAGATTATTCAATATGGGGCCGTCCATATATGACGTCACGCGATTTTGGACGATTTTTTACCCCCCCCCCCCTTCGTCACCCCCCCCCCTCAAATGACGTCACAAAGCTCTGCCCCCCCCCCCCAAAATAAAACATGCTTCAAATCGCTTTAAACTATTGTCATTGTAGTGCGTATTTAATGTGGCGCTGCACTCTGCTGTTGTAGGAGAAAACATTTATTAAAAAGTATATTTTATTAAGTAGAACGTGTTGTCTATATTTATTTAAAGTTGTGCATTTTTATGTGACGTCACATTTCTCACCCCCATCCCCCCTCGTCACACATCGTCACGAATGTCTGAACCCCCCCCGCCCCCCCCCTAGGTGCGTGACGTCATTTATGGACGGCCCCTATGACGAGCGGCTTCTCGTGTGCACAGATAGAAGACACGTGATGTCCGATGCACTCCACAAAACGAACTTTCTTGCAAGCAGGTGCCATGTATCATTTAATCATAGGCCGTGCTCTATCCACTGCTGGATGAAGTCCTCCCTATGCTGCCCCTCGTGACCCACTCCTGCACAGGCAGTGCTTTCATCGCTCCATCTCCATTGATGGTCGTCCTCTAAGGAGGTCCGAGGGCAACCATCATCCCAGATAGTGGCGTGTTCTGTCCAAGACCATTTACGTTTCTTAAATGTCAATGCATTTTATTTGAGTATTTTCCGCCGATCAATGTTCTCTTTATTGTAATTCCACGCATTATGCTCTCCATTATTTTAATTAAACATTTAAAATCGAGATTGAAAACCAGAACTGCTTTCTTGTTATTCGTTTGGTGCCCTTCCCCCGCGCCTCTGATTAGCGTGGTTGGCTACGTCCGGTGCAAAAGAAGTTCAACGTACACACATACTATACACTCCTATATACTACACTACTATACACTACACCACTCTAGTACATTGAGAACTAATTTCTTTAGCACTGCTTTTTGTGTATTAGTGTGTTGCCCTTTCCCGCACCTCCGATTAGCGCGGTTGGCTACATGCGGTTGCAAATGAAGTTTATCACGCAACATACACACAAAACTACAATTCACTTTCCCCAATATTGTGATGCCGTGCCGGTGTTAATGGTCAGCACGCTCTTACTAGCGGTTCCCACGGTTACGATAACCTCAGCGTAGAAGTTTGGGGAAAAATAGGTTTTAA